CTGGGTTTATTGTCCGACGTCTCCAAAAAAAGGCAATTTTTTCAAAGGTATTGCCTTTAAACCACTTTAAACATCGACCTTGTGTCACACCCATGAGCGACATGGAAAATTGGAATTCTGAAAAATACCCCCTCATCTTCAACAACAACAACACTCTTACGAAATCCAAACTGGACAAAGGTTATTCATCAATTCAAATGCTCCGAACAAAAAGCAAAAATAAAGTTATTAATAATTACGTCTGACATACCAATATTCGTTTATCAAGATGGCTGACCTTAAATCTCTGGGACCATGGCTCCAAAAAGACCTATTTAAACCAGCATAAAAACATACCAACTTCAGTACGCAACAAACTAGTGTAAAATACAAATTAGTTTATACAAACTAATAAAATATAGAAGTCCACATGATAACTTAAAAAAAAAAAGAAAGAGGCAATCCACAGAAGCTCTCTTCATAAAAACAACAGCACATAAGAACTTCAACTACGAACAAGGCCATAATGTAACGACTGTGTTCGAGAACTAAAGATACGTCAACGTGAAAATCTTCTCCGTGTGTCCCTTAATACACACACGCACGCACACGCGCGCGAGAATTCTAAAGATCTCCGTCTCCACCAACAAACATAAACGACAATGCGTGTGCACACCACTGTATACAATGTATGTGAAAGGAAACGGGACGCAGATCAGGACTTCATTTACGTGATTCTCGTGTGTATGCACCATTCACAAATAATGTCTTTTGCAGATAATGAAAAAGATGAAGAAGATGATGAAAACCGAACACCACCATGTTGGTCTTCTTGTTAATTTGGCTCCAGAAGAAGATCCGTTTTTTTTTCTTATTTTGACTCCAAGGTGAACGTGGCTGAAATATTTCGCTCTGCCTCAATTACGAAAAATTGTTTGCTATGCTTCGGAAATTCTTTTCAGCAAAATGTCGAGTGATTTGGCTTTACTCTTTATGTGATCTTCAAAAAGGCACAACATGTTCCATCTTCAAGCGAAATTTTTTTTTTTTTGAAGATGAAACAGAGCTTACTTTAACTCAATTTAATTTAAATAATTATATTGAAGTTTTCGGCTCTTGTTTTGAAACATGGGACTTCTTATGTAGCGTTTTGGAATCATATTTTTAAATAAATAATTATATTTATGCTCTACTTTTGTATCGAGCACTATTTTTTAAAAATAACTAAAATACTAAGGGACTTTGGATTATTTACCTAACCAGTTCCTTCCTATTTTGTATATATTTTCATATATATATATATATATATATATATATATATATATATATATATAGTCATCAAACGACAGATTGCTTCGCTGCATTACAGCTCATCAGTATGGATAGACATGCGATTGCTTCAATCCAGCATCTTAACCCGACCGATTTAACATCAGTCGGAAACTCTCACCCTTAGGCCATTCGCGAATGCTACCAAGAAAGGGAATTTTTAACGCATTATATAAGAGATGTAAGCATTACTGGCTATCAGAGTGCTCAATTCATAGTGAAGAACTTTTAGCGTTAATTAGCAGCAGCCGATAAATTGTCCTTTCTTCCAAAGTGCTCAACCTACGAGATCTGGAAACAAACTTGTGAATGTTAGAAACCCGTGACTAAAACGGGTTTGCATCCAGTGAAGTCATTCCTGTCTGTTTGGGATTCCACGGTAATAATTCATTTTGAGCGTCTTCTAGCAGGCAAAATAATAACTGCAAAAAAGTATTGCGACTCTCCTGACGGTTATTCAAGAAAAACGGTCGATTTTGGCAAATCAAAAAGCTGTCATTTTCCAACACGACAATACAAAACCATATGTTGTAAAAGAAAGTTTGCAGAAGCGTAAATAATTACAATGTGACCCTACAATCCAAAATCCATCTTATTCTACTGACTTGGTGTAGGATTTTCAATTGTTCCAGTTTCAAGAGAACAATTTAGGTGACAAAAAAATAGATTCTGTAGCCAATCTAAGACTATGTCACAAAAACACGGAATTTTTACGAAATGGCACCAACAAACTTGTAGAACAATAGGAGACAGTTGCTAAAAACAAGATTGACTATGTACATTTTTTTTAAGCATTTCACCCCAAGCAAGGCGGTAAGCCACTAGTATGCAAGGGGTTATAGAGGATTTGGAGCGAGAGCGGATAGGAGTGATAGAGGAAAGGATGAGGAGAAGGATAGTGGATAGATCAAGGCAACTGGAGATGTCGATTGACATTACATTTGAATAGTTGGAGATTATAGCTATCAGGGAAACAGGAATAGGGAAGGGAGTTCTACAGGTGAGAGGTGCGAGATATGAAGCTATTGGAGTAGAAGAGGCGGCTACAATTAACAGTTCGAACAGTGAAAGGGTGAGAGCGAGATGCCAGCCTCGCAGAACGCTTGAATTCGCGAAGTCTGGGAACCTGACTAATAAATGTTTTCTTGTAAGTAACTTTTGTTTTTATATATAACATATAATGTATATCACCTAAAGAAAGCCGGAGAGTCGAACGGCCGAAACGTCGTGAATATGCCAATGTAAATAGTGTAAATTATATTTTTAATTTTTTAATCAGGCACGAACTTTTGCAATGATCATGACAACTTTCCAGACCTATTCTTTCATATTGAGATCGAAGACATGCTGCAGCAGCGAGTCACCCCCGTCCCTGGTCTCTTTTGACGAATGTCAGTGTTTTAGGACGCAAGAATTTCATGTGTGGAATGGCATGACGCAATCAACAGACGGAATGTCATCCGTGATCTTTGACATCCCAATGTCATGTATCGCTTGCTGCACCCCGTTGACATTTCTCGATGATGATGAATGAATTACAAAGAATCCGGGTACATTGATCCACACTAATATGCACCCAGATACCCGGTTCTCTCCAACCAACCGCTAAAATAATAACATTCTACAGTCTGAGAAACTATTCTGTGAAAATGCGAATAAGTATTACGTGTGATGAAAGCAAACAAACGTTGCCTTCTGTTTTAAGGGCTTTTGAAAACAAGAAAAAGAATTTTCCATATCGTATTATATTTCGTTTTTTTTTTGTTTTTTTTTTCAAGACATTTTGTAGAATGTGAGTTACAAAATACCCACAAAACTTTCCAACACGTTTTTATTAAAAAATGCAAAAAGTCATTTTTATTCTTTTTAGTAAATATTGCTTGGATTATAAACACCAACAAAAAATTCTTGATGGCATTTTTTCAATTTGGTGCCAAAACACTATTTACATTATTCGGACTATTGTCCTCATCTTTGTTGTCATATTTATTACAACGTTTCGGCCGTTCAGTATCTGTCTATATTTCTGAGATGATTTATTATGTACACTATTTACATTATTCGGACTATTGTCCTCATCTTTGTTGCCATATTTATTACAACGTTTCGGCCCTTCAGTATCTGTCTATATTTCTAAGATTAGATATTATGTACACTATTTACATTATTCGAACTATTGTCCTCATCTTTGTCGCCATATTTATTACAACATTTCGGTCGTTGTACGCTCCGGCCTTCTTCAGGTGGTTGGAATGTCGAACTGAACCCTTTATTTCGCTCACTGGGGTAGACCGTTCTAGTTTCACGTGCCATAGTTTAATGGATGTCAGTTATCAGTTATCTCCTGTTAATTTCCCTCTGAAAGTTCTCCACTGCCTTATCCGGGTATTGAACTCACACTCTTTGGGTCCTGTCACTGGATCTAACTAACGCCTTTATCCAGTGAACCATGTGTCTTTTAGACAGATATCGTACCAGAAGTAAAAATGCACATCTGAGATTTTCTCCTCTTAAAAGAAAATTGAATGGAAACCAAATTCAAAGAATCTAAAATCTGAGAATTTTGTCAGAAGCGTGCCAGAATTCTGCATTTCTCCATTATGGTCGCAGTAGCGCCATCTGGCGAGAAATGACATTAGTCTTAGGTTTTACGAGTATGACAAAAAACAGAAGAAAACAACATCGACAAAGACAAGTTTTGTTTTTATTTCTCTTGCAATTCGATGAATTCCATTGAGGAACTCGAATCTTCTGCTGTTATTCGTGTCTGTCATTCCTTTTTTCCTCATTAGCAACAATGAAATGAAGAATAACTCATTGCATGAATTCATATCTCATCTTCTCTTTCTTTTTAAAATGACAGAAGGTAACAGTAAAAACATCTTTCCTGCTTCCGGTACGTCACTTCCGAAAGCGAATGCATCCTGCAGCTTGCTTCCGGCATCATACTGAAGCCAAGTGAAGAGAAAATACTGTGATGATTAAAGACGGACGGAATGGTGTCCAAAAAAAAAAAAACAATAAACGATGGGTTTTTTTTTTCTTAATTAATAACAAGGAAAATTAACAAGGTTGGTGAGATAGAGGGAAAAAAGGCAGACCACCGCCCTGGACTGACTAGCAGTTCCTTTGTGAAGCCGTAAATTTGGCATAAGCCAGGATGAAAGTAAAATGTTGCCTTCATCATCTGGGTAACCCGCTAAGACGATCGTTAGATATGGGTGTCAGCAGTGGGCGGATGGTATTATTAAGGGACGAGAAAATCTAGAAAGGGGTGGACGGGTGGCCAGATTGGTTTCGGCACTAATTGCCTGCTTATTAATTTTTTAATCTAATCAGATTTTACAAAACGGTGATGAGATACACGAGCCATGAACACACAATAATGGAAAACAAACTTTAGTGACGTGTAAATCTTTTACTTAATATATTATCGTACTATAAGACGCACCGGCTTATAAGGTGCACCGGGCTTATAAGACGATAATGGGGGTGTTATAAGACGCATCGGGGGCTTATAAGACGCACCGGGGGCTTATAAGACGCACCGGCGGCTTATAAGACGCACCGGGGGGGCTATAAGACGCACCGGCTTATAAGGCGCACCGGGCTTATAAGACGCACCGGCTTATAAGACGCACCATACTTTCAAGGATTTTTTTAAAAAACAAAACTTGTCTTAGTATTTAGGCTTACGGTCATATCATGTTGAAACACCGGTTCCCGTACGATCTCCGAAGTTAAGCAACGTTGAGTTTGGTTAGTACTTAGATGGATGACCATTTGGGAATACCAAGTGATGTAATCTTGGATGTGCGGGTGGTGTAATGGATAATTGCTCAGAATTGTTAACCTCAGAACTGAGTTTCGATTCCAGTTGAGTTCGTTTCCTCGTTTAGTTCGGCTAATGTGTTCACTGGTAACCATAAAAAAAATCAATTTCCAATTACTATGGTTAAAGAATGTTTTACATCACTAAAAGACAATTATGTATGCAATAATCGAATTTTGGTATATAAAAATTTTAGCACATAATCAATGGGCGTCTGTATTCACGCGCAAATAACCGAAGGAAAGATATAGATCTACCTCCTCCCAGGTATGGGTTAATGTTATGAGACCTTACCCATAATAACATAATGGACTGTTCCATACGTAATAAATACTGCGCCTCAAGAGGAAGCAGAGAGTTCAGTCCGAAGTCGGGAGACCGGCTGATCGGTTGAACTCTCTGCCTTCGGGCCGCGAGGAACTCGAACGAGGCTATGCCGAAGGGAGGAGTCTCTTTCGGGGAGGTAAACCGACCCTGAACCCGTTTATACGGGTTCAAAGGGCATATTTTTGGCCGAGCCCATGGGCTCGGAGATCCCACGTTAAAAAGACCTTGTGCCACATGATGCCCTCGTGGGAGGGTGACTAAATACCGTTCAGCCTGAAGTCTGGAGTGAAGTCCGTCAGGAGTCTGTCAGTCAGTCAGATCGAGCGAGTCAGTCAGTCGTCAGAGGCAGTCCGAAACAAAGTCGCGTTCAGACAATTACTACTAAACCTGATTGTTCATACTAACACTTCTACTTCTCTGTATATATTCCTGTTTGTAATATATCTGTGTTATTCCATATCCGTATTCGAGTTCTTCTTTATTGGTTCTACCCGTGGACTATCACCCGGGGTACAAGGACCTGGGCCATAACAGTAAATTAGTAAGATTTGTGTTGTGTCCTGTTAGGGGCCAAAAAGAAAAACACGGAAAGAAGAAGGTAGGTTGAACAAACAATAACCGAACACATATACAAAATAAGAGTGTTATTAATCAGCAGATAAAAATGTCCGTCTGAACTGTCAGGTTACACTGCCTCCCTTAAGAAGTCTCGCAGGTTAGTATTTATGAAGAAGGAAGAGTTCATTCTAATGTAGAATAGGTCGCCATAACAATTTGTATCACTAAATCATTATTATATCACAAAAATTCTAACAATCTAAAATTATTTTATGGCTTTAAGTAGCCTGCAAAGGGTTGGTAAGCCGTAAAAAACGAATCAGTCACCAATTCGTCATCTCCCGTCCCCTTGAATCTCTTCAGGTGGTTGGAATTTAGAACTGAACCCTTTATTTCGCTCACTGGGTTAGACTGTTCTAGTTCCAATGGATGTCAGCTTTGAGGATATCTCTGTATGAATTTCAGGGTATTATAAACCTAATGTCTTCAGCAATCATTTTTTACTAGTGCAATTTTTGCAAGAACAAATAGCACAGTGGATAAAGGCGTTGGTTAGATCCAGTGACAGGACCCAAAGAGTGTGAGTTCAATACCCGGTTAAGGCAGTGGAGAACTTTCAGAGGGGAATTAACAGGAGATAACTGACAACTGACATCCATTGAACATGGCACGTGAAACTAGAACAGTCTACGTCAGTGAGTGAAATAAAGGGTTCAGTTCGACATTCCAAACCACCAGAAGAAGGCCGGAACGTACAACGGCCGAAGCGTTGTGATAAATATGGCAACAACGATGAGGACAATAGTCCGAATAATGTAAATAGTGTAAATAATGCCTCATCTGAGAAATATAGACAGATACATTTCTGAACGTGTTCAGCGCCATGCATGACATCCATGTCAAGGCTATTTAAGAACATGACTCCAGTTTTCAGGTTAATGTTTTTGTTTAGTAGCAACTTGCGGTGTTGGGTGAAACTATCTCTGTCACAGCCAATTTCCTTTCCTCCGGGGCTCATCGATATAGCGAAGTATTTGAAGTTTTTCGTATTTACTAATTCCACATTTTGAAATTTTATGATAGATTCTGAATAGATGTCATCACGGCTTTCATTCCAATTCCTGGTCATAGTTTTATTTATTTTTTAATCATTTCCCTCCAGGCAAGGCAATAAAGCCACTAGGACGCAAGAGGTTACTGAATGTTAGAGAATATGAGAAAAACTGCTATAACCGACATAGGACAATAAAAGAACAAAAATTAAGAAGAAAGAAGATAACGATTGACATTGCATTTAAATTCTTCAAGATCAAATTTGACTGGGAAGCAAGAATCAGGAAGAGAGTTCCACAAACAGGATGTGCGAGAGAAGAAACTATTAGCATAGAACTTACGGTTACATCTAGCTATTTCAACTGTAAAATGATGAGACCTTGCAGCCAATCAAGTACTGCGCTTAAGTTCATAAAGTCTAGACACCATAGCGGAAAGTTCATCAGAACAATTACCATGAAAGTATTTATAGAAAAGACACAAGGAAGCTACCTTACGCCGATAGGAAATCGACTGATAGCGAGATGCCAGGTCAAGACCAATAACATTGCAGATTCTTCTTTGAACTTTATCAAAATTCTCTAAATATATAGCAGGAGTACCAGACCACATGTAAATACAGTAAACCAACTTTCTTATATGCAGACCCAGCAATTAATTCAATATAATCCTTCCACTTCATGTCAGGGGAAAATGTTATCCCGAGAAATCGCAATCTGTTACTCTCTTGGAGGTTAGCATCAGCCATACTTATGGAAGGCAAAAACAGTTCTCTCTTAACAAGCCATTCTTTAAGCTAGATTGTAGATCATTTTTTTAAAAATCAACTGCCAAACAGAGTTATTATTACGACCGTCCTGGGAATGACGATAAACTACATCCGCGTCCAGGGTAAGACGATAAACTACGTCCAGCAGCAAGGCCTCTGATCAGGAGGTTTTGAGGAGCGTAGAACCATCTCTTAATTGCTGGTGTTCCCAGGTCCACCCTGACCCGGGGTGGTAGCACCTGTTAGGGTCCCAGCTATGGGCAAATAATTAACCCTGAAACTGAGATAAAAATGGGTTTTAATATCAGGAATACTTTGCAAAAAAAAAAAAATTAATACCAGCAATAAATGTTTGAAGAAAAAATAAATATTTCCAGCAATAGATTTTTGAAAAAAAAATATTGCCAACAATACTTTTTTGAAAAAATATTAGCAGAAATAGATTTTTGACAAAACAAAATATTACCAGCAATAAAAATTCTGTCGGCATTAAATAATCCATTGAGGTTGATATGCTGCAAAACACAACAAACCAAACCGTTATTACGATAGGAACAAATAGTTGTATCCTCGGCATAGATACCGAGTTTAGAACTTATGACACCAGGAAGGTCATTTATGAAAATTTGGAACAGCCTAGGTCAAAGGATCTATCCTTGGTGGGGGCAGACACCTGCATTACGCCAGAAAGACCTGGAAGAGTGATAAGGCAAACAGACAAAAATGCGGTAAGTATGGAGTTATGTCTGTACGTATCCATGTTTCATAAATAGGCAAAGGGAGGAGGCAAATTTCGTTTGGGTGCACCTTCACACAGAAGAGAAGCAGGGGAAAAAAGTCGCCTTCATCGACAAACGAGTTGGCTGACGTTTTTTCTTTGGCGCCGTCAGCGTCTCCGAAAAGACATATGGTAGAATCAAAAGAAAGCTTTGTGTTTCAAGTTGATAACACACATCTAGAAGAAATCTTTGAAAATTCTATCTAAAAACCAAAATATGATGATTAACATAAGACAAATATTAGTAAATAATGCTAAAATGGACTTTATATTGGGACCTTGAATAAGTTCTCGCTGATTTTCCATGAAAAGTGATGTTTTATTTAAAAAATTAGTAAGAAAAATGTCACTGAAAATATTGTCCATCACTAGCGACTACTTTTTATCCATCTTCCTGTCAGCATTTGAATTCCAAGTCGGAAAAACGACATGTCTTTTGAGGCTAACCATGAGTCGGTCCATTTTGGCATTTTCATAAGAATGAAAATGCTGTTCATCCAGGCCATGTTTCATTGATCGGAACATGTGATAATCGGACGGATCATTGTCTGGTGAATACGGCGGGTGGGGTAGGACTTTTCATTTAAGCGTTTCCATGTGGCCCTGCGTTGTCATGTTGGAAAATCACTTTTTCAGGTCCTGCTCGTATAGCGGCTATTTTTTCTTAATGCGCGGCTCGAACGCATCAATCGCAATCGATATCGATCTCCCGTAATGGTTTCGGTCGGTTTGAACAGCTCATAATGAAGTACACCCAGCTGATCCCATCAAATGCAGAGCAGAAGCTTCGAACCTTGGATATATTCGGCTTTGCTGCCAATGTTGATGCATGGCCTGGCTTACCCCACGATCTTCTACGCTTAGGGTTATCGTAGTGTATCCACTTTTCATCGCCGGTCATGACACGATGCAACAAAAAAAACTTTCCTTTTCTGCCATTGAAGCAGCTGTACAAGACGTCCGACGTCTTTCGGCTTCAACTCGTATTGTACCCAATGTCCTTGCTTTTGAATAATTCCTAATGCTTTCAAACGTTTCGAAACTGTTGTGTGATCAACTCCTTATGATTCTGCAAGATCATTTTGTACCGGCCTTCAGGAATTAATGCCTCCAATTCTTCGTCTTCAAACTTTTCCGTTATTTATCTTAACATCAAAATCATTATTTTTGAAGCGTCTAAACGAATCTCTGCGTATTGTTTCCGACAGAGCATGGTCGCCGTAAGTCTGAACAAGAATCTTCTTTGCTTCAGCTGCAAATTTCTTTTGAATAAACAAGAGCAACAAAATTCCCCGCAAATAGACTTTCTTCGGCACGAAATCCGACATTTTAAATGCCATGAAAAACAAAGTTGTTTATACTTCGGCCAAATGACGTACTCCGAATTTCAAGCTAGCTTACAGTACTTCCTTGTAGATGCGTTACCATCTGAAACGCACACACGCGCGCGCACACACACATATGCTGATACTCCCGGAAGAGTGAACGAACAGGTCCATCTAAAAACTTTAGAGGCGGGATACGGAAGGTAGCATCAATTAGCTAAGTAATTTTTTTACTTATATATATATATATATATATATATATATATATTAAGAAATGGACAAAGTCCGACAATTTATTTATTAAAGACATATATATGACGTCATTTGGTTACATTTGATACGCCAGAGCAGTTATGAATGTACGAGATTCATGGAAGATTGAAGTTTATAAGCAGTAAATTCGACCTTGCCTACCGAACGTTCCTTTGTGGCCGAGACGGTTAAGGCACGTCAGCGTAATTCAGGCCGGTAAATGTTATTTAATACTGTTTATTATAAACAGAGCATTTACTTAAATACTTGTATCTATAAAAAAGAACGTTAAACATAAAAATGTCTTTAATAAATATATATATATATAGTCCCCTCCAAAATTATTGGAACGACAAGGCCAATTCCTTTGTTTTTCTTGTTCGCTGAAGAGATTTGGGCTTAAGATCAAAAGATGAATATGAAACAAGAGTTCCGAATTTCAGTTTTTATTCCATGGTATTTACATTTTGATGTGTTAAACAATTTAGGACATACTACCTTTTATTTGAGCCCACACATTTTTTAAGTGAACAAAACTATTAGAACACGTGATTGACAAGTGTTTTTTGTTGATCAGGTGTTGCCCTTTATATTGATCGTTTAAATATCAAATACCTCTGAATGACTACTCTTGGTTTTAGCCTTGGGCTTCACCTGTAAAGATTGGATTTCTTGTTAAAAAGGGTAAAAACCACTCTGAAGATGAGAGAGTTGTGCCTGGGATAAAAGCAAGCCATTTTGAAGCTGAGAAAAGAGGGGGAAACGATCAGAGCCATTGGGCAAACATTTGGAATCACCTGAAAATGAAAGAAACTATTAGCCTACTGAGCAACTGACATAGAACAGGTTGGACAAGGAAAACAACAGCTGCCGATAACAGAAACATTGTGAGGGCTGTGAGGAAAAAAACCCTAAAGAAAAGTCAGTATCATCACCAAAATTTACTCATTAGCATTAAGAATCGGAAGGTTTGATTGGTTTTGCACGGAAGTAGAGAGATGAGTAACAAAACTTCTGGATTCATTTCTACCAAAATGAGGGAAAGGCCAAAGTGTAGAAAGGATCTGCTTATGATCCAAAGTATACAAGCTTATCTGTGACGTCGGGTGGAAGCAGTGTCTTGGATTGGTTTTCCATGACTGCTTCTGGAACAGGATCATTCATTTATTCATCATGTAACTCATGATGGCAGCAGCAGAAAGAATTCAGAAGTCTATAGAAACAATTTGTCTGTCCATTTACAGAGAAATGTTTCCAAACAATCTTGCTACAAGACAATGGCACAACACATACTACCAACAGAACAAAGGACTTCATCAGTGGGGTGGACAGTTTTAAACTGGCAAAGTCAATCACCAGGTCATAACCCAATAGAACATTCATTTCGTCTCTAGAAGACGAGATTGAAGGACCCCCTCCCCTCACCGCCAAAGCAAACAGGGTTAGGGTTACAAGGGAAAGAGGCCGCGTTTGAAAGTCTGGAAAACACCACAAATGAAGAATGTAACAGTTTATGTCTATGGGTCTCAGGCTTGATGCAGTTATTGCAAGCAACCAAATCTTCAATGTTATTTATTTTAAGACGATTTATTTCTTTACTTATGCCCGTCTAAAAATGTGCTGATCTGATACAAAAAGTGGTTTGTCCTAAGCATTTTAACACATCTCCATGTAAATACCAGGAAATAAAAACTGAAAAAATTCTGAACTTTTGTCTCATATTCATCTCTGGGGAATTGGCCTTGCTGTTCTAATACTTTTGGATGGGACTATATATATATATATATATATATATATATATAATTATTTATTTTTAAAAAAATTATAAAATAAATATGTTATAAAATCACTACAAAAATAGTCATTTTGTTTCAACACCTCCGGTGTCTTATCAAGTGATGATGTTGAATGTAAAATAAATAGTTTTAAAAATTTCAAATTAACAATCCTTCGCAACGGGAAAACGTTGTTACAAAAGCTAGATTGACGAATCAAAATACAAGTATAGGAAAATTCAAAAAGCTTGACAACGAAGTCATGTTATAATAGCTATTCAGATCTTTAAAATACGGGTAATATTAAAAAAGAATTTATTCTAACTAATAATTATTAAATTATATGATAAGATAGATAGATAGATAGATAGATAGATAGATAATGAACAGGTTTAGATAGATAGATAGATAGATAGATAGATAGATAGATAGATAGATAGATAGATAGATAGATTTGAATAGAGGAAGATAGTTTTGAATCAAATGAAATAGATAGATAATAGAAAGAGAATTAGAAAGATAGAAAGAGAGATACACAAAGAATTAGATAAATAGATATGAAAAGAGTGACATAGATAGATAGATACTGACTCACTGTGACACACATACATAGCCACACTTAGCATATCATACACACACACACACACACACATATATATATATATATCCATACCGAATATTAAGGCATTCACAGACACACGTACGCCTATAAGCACCCTTCCCCAATCACCAGGTAGAAATTCACCTACAGATGCTGACTAACTTTTCCCCAAGTGCCAAACAACAAAAACGGCTTCGGTTTGCACCTGTGAAAACATTCAGTTACTCATCATTGGCAGGCCGTGTTTCGCACTCAAAAGACGAATATGTCACTCGAAACAAACCGCCTTTAACTTCGTCGATGTCAGTGCAAGCGCAAAAGATTTCGAGGCTAATTTGAATCGAATCTTTTATCGACTGTTGTCTATTTGGCCTGCGGAGCCCAATACAGAATGAGGTGGATTCTTGTCAACACTTGCTTATTCCCAAGGCTTCACCCCGGAAAGAAGCTGCGTTTTGAAAACTCATTCAAATGCATACCCTATAATGCCCGGCTCGTCCGCATTGTTTGCTTAGCCTTGATATGCATTTCCAAGCTTGTTTTAGTCTGGCACAAGGCTAATATTTCAGTGTGCTAGGTTAGGATCGAACTTCGCCTGTCAGACTAACTATCAAATAGGTATTTACACAGCTGTTTTCATTTTAAAGCAAGTCCACTTAGATTGCCAAACTTACTATGAATGGACTTAGAATATTGCCTGAGCTTTTCCGAGTGTGTTTCTGTAGATGTGGAGAGAGAATGAGAAAAAGAAAAAGAAAAATATATTATTAGATAGAAAAAGACGAGTATAAAGATAATTCCGTGTATAAATAATACAATGATTTTCTAAGCGTAGCTTAGATAGAACACAAGGCCGAAAATATGGGGTACCCTGTGAGGATCGAACTCACTAACCAGTCGTAAATTGATCGCACGAGACAAACTTGATAACCATTACACTACGACGGAGTGCACTCGAGAAAAAAATAATATGCTATCAAATTCTAGTCATTTTTTTTTAAGATTATAAATAGTTTTGTTGTCATAAATAATAATTCTCTTCCCAAATTTGTATAACCCGCGCTTGGATGGTCATGTGACCCTGAACAGCCAATCAACAGAGTTCCGTTTTTACAGAGGAACAGGATTTTTTTTTGCTAAACTCCAGGAAGAGAAGATGCGTTCTTGACTCTTATGTAGGTTCGACCTTTAATAAAATGACACGCCGGGCTTCTAAGTAAATACCGCTTTCAACATCTGCTAATTTTCTTTTTCAGGGTCAGAGAGAAGGCATATAACACATTTTTTAATTGTTTGTATGTTCTCTTTTAATGATATAAGCACTTTGTTTATGCACTTCCGACTTCTCTCTAGCCGTCTTTATTTATTTATTTTTTATTTTCATTACAAATGTTTGGGTAATTATCTTTGCCGATGATAAAACAAAAATACTTGTTTATAAAATAAGGCCAGCCAAATTTTCAGAGACTGAATTTTACAGTCAGCTTTGAATGATCTGCTCGTAAAGATGTTTCAAGTCCCTGGACATTTCCTCGATTCACCTTGGCTAGATATTTAGAACATAAAATTAGAAATATATTTCGCGAGAATTTAGCTCTGTCTAAGCGATGATGTATTATTTAAAAATAATTTAATTTCAAAAGCTTGATTCAGAGTCAAAGAGAGCGAGAATGAGAGACGCAATGATAAATAAAAGAGAAAGAGGGTGAAAAATAAAAAGGGAGATAAAAATGAGAAAGGGGGGGAGAAAGTATAAAGAAAAGGAGAAGAGCTTGATAGAGAGAAGAAAACAGAGAGAGAGAAAGAGCGATATCAAATAATTCAAATGTTTTACGATGTTTAGGGAATTGGAAATTTCATGGAAGAGAATTTAAAAAAATCAAAAATAGAACCAAAGTGTGTGCTGAATCCTCTACAGAAAAAAAAAAAGAAACTACCCAAATTTTCCCTATACCCAAAGAATATATATATATATATATATATATATATATATATATATATATATATATATATATATAATTAGTTTTATTTAAAATTATAAAATAAATATGTTATAAAATCACTACAAAAATAGCCATTTTGTTTCAACACCTCCGGTGTCTTATCAAGTGATGATGTTAAATGTAACTGTTGGTTATTGGAATTTATTCCGTTTACACCAATCATATATATATATATATATATATATATATATATATATATATATATATCCCGGACCTATGTCTGCTTTTCTCCACTTTGCTGGTGTCAACCGATTTAACGCTCGTGTTAACAGGACAGATGTCTAGTTTTTAGACTCTAGCATAAATCAGGCATGTGTCTACCTCTATGAATATAGTGTAAACTGGACCCATGTCTATCCCTTTTCACTTTAATGTAGACCAGACCTGTGTCTACATTCATCTCTTTTGTGTAAACCGAACCCAACCTTTTTAATTCCAGTATATAACCGGATCCGAAAATACATTTTGGGTCTAGTGTAAATCGTGCTTGTGTCTACCTCTATGAATATAGTGTAAACCGGATCCATGTCTATCTTTTTTTTACTTTAATGTGGACCAGGCCTGTGTCTTCATTCATCTCTATAGTGTAAACCGGACCCAACCTTTTTAGCTCCAGTATATAACCGGATCCGAAATTACCTTTCGAGTCCAGTGCAAATCGGGCTTGTGTGTCCATTTTGAAACTATAATTAACTACCCCACCTTTTTTTTCATTTCTTTTTTACATTGAGCTTTGATCCTGTACAAGGGTCGGGGGTCACGCGAAGAGTTACATAGTAAGAGGCAGTTAATAGGAGGGGAAGAAAAACGGTTAACTATAGACTGGAACAGGCCAAGATATTGGGTTGGTGCATAATTATCGGGCGTTTTTGTAGGCGAGTTATTTGATAATAAAAATTGCTGTTATGTTTTTTTAATAAAAATATTTGATTTTCAAGTTATAAAAATACGTGCCGATAATTACACGCTCCAGAATAATCATCTAAAAATGTTATGTTTCTTTTTTTCATAATAAATATTGTTTAACAAACGCCTGATAATTATGCACCAACCCAAGAGTAGCGACCGAGGAAATATCCTCTCGGGAGTCCATTCCACAGAGAAGTGGTTCGTGGGAAGAAGCTGTTCGATTGCAATGCTACAATGTAAGTGTCATGGCGGGTCCTAGCCGTGAAGGATAGACTTGTTGGAACCAAGGAATGCAGTTTTTTTCCGAACACTTTCCATGGAAGTAGCGACAAAGCAGTGAGAGTCTTGTAGACATCTCGCCTCTGAGAGACGGGTTGCAGGGTGGAAAATAATTTCTTACCCACAAGGACGCGGTGACTCTTTTGAAACTGGAAATGGAGGACTGTGCAGCGCCTGCTCAAATATGACAACAGTACTCCATTTTAGACCTGATCTGGCTCTTGTAAAGATAGAACATAGAACCAAGAGTCAGGTATTTAAGAAGAATTACAGGGAACCGACCATTTTTCCTGCAACTTTGGCGATGGATTGTATGAAAGAGTTCCAATTGAGGTCTGGGGTGATCTTATGGCCCAATACATACTCAAGTCATGGAGCCTCCCCGGGCTGATATCCACTCAACGGGGTCCGATCGGCGATAACCTGCGTCTACTTTTTTGAGTCAAGTGTAAATCGGACCCGAATCTCCATTTTTGGCGCCAGTGTAAAACCTGGACGACGTCGAACTTTTTTAAGAGGATTTTATTCCATACTTTTAGATGTTTCTCTCATCAGGCTTATTTTCGCCCTCTTTCTCTTCCCTCTTTATCTCTCCCTCTCTCTCCCTCTTTCTCTATCCCTCTCTCTCTCTCTCTCTCTCTCTCTCTCCGTCTCTTCATATCTCCTTCTCTCCCTCCTTCTCTCCTTCTATCTCTCTTTCCATCTCCCTCTCTCTCCTCTTTCTCTCTCCCTCTCTATCCCTCTATGTATCCTTCCTTTCATCTCTCCCTCTCTCTCGCCTTCTATCCCTCTCTCCCCTCTTTCACTCTTCTCTTCTTACTCTATCCCTCTCTACCTCTCTCTCCGTCTCTTCATCTCTCCCTTATTCTCTCCTTCTCTCTCTCTTTCCATCTCCCTCTCTCTCCTCTTTCTCTCTCCCTCTCTATCCCTCTATGTATCCTTCCTTTCATCTCTCCCTCTCTCGCCTTCTATCCCTCTCTCCCCTCTTTTAACTCTTCTCTTCTTACTCTATCCCCTCTCTACCTCTCTCTCCGTCTCTTCATCTCCCCTTATTCTCTCCTTCTCTCTCTCTTTCCATCTCCCTCTCTCTCCTCTTTCTCTCTCCCTCTCTATCCCTCTATCTATCCTTCCTTTCATCTCTCCCTCTCTCTCGCCTACCATCCCTCTCTCCCCTCTTTCACTCTTCTCTACTTACTCTATTCCTCTCTACCTCTCTCTCCGTCTCTTCATCTCTCCCTTCTTCTCTCCTTCTCTCTCTCTTTTCATCTCCCCCTCTCTCTCCCTCTCTCTATCCTTCCTTTCATCTCTCCTTCTCTCTCGCCTTCCATCCCTCTATCGCCTCTTTCACTCTTCTCTTACTCTATCCCTCTCTACCCCTCTCTCTCTCTCCGTCTCTTCATCTCTCCCTTCTTCTCTCCTTCTCTCTCTCTTTCCATCTCCCTCTCCTCTATCTCTCTCCCTCTCTCTATCCTTCCTTTCATCTCTCCCTCTCTCTCGCCTTCCATCTCTCTCTCCCCTCTTTCACTCTTCTCTTACTCTCTCCCTCTATATCCCTCTCTCTATCCTTCCTTTCATCTCTCCCCCTCTCTCGCCTTCCATCCCTCTCTCCCCTCTTTCACTCTCCTTTTCTTACTCTATCCCTCTCTACCCCCTCTCTCTCTCTCCGTCTCTTCATCTCTCCTTTCTTCTCTCCTTCTCTCCCTCTTTCCATCTCCCTCTCTCTCCTCTTTCTTTCTCCCCCCTCTCTCTTCCTCTCTCTATCCTTCCTTTCATCTCTCCCTCTCTCTCGCCTTCCATCCCTCTCTTCCTCTCTCCCCTCTTTCACTCTTCTCTTCTTACTCTATCCCTCTCTACCCCTCTCTCTCTCCGTCTCTTCATCTCTCCCTTCTTCTCTCCTTCTCTCTCTCTTTCCATCTCCCTCTCTCTTCTCTTTCTCTCTCCCCCTCTCTCTCCCTCTCTCTATCCTTCGTTTCATCTCTCCCTCTCTCTCGCCTTCCATCCCTCTCTCTTCTCTTTCTCTCTCCTCTTACTCTATCCCTCTCTCTGTCCTTCCTTCTATCTCTCTCCTTCCCTCCCTCTTTCCCACTCTCCCTCTCTTTCCCTCACTTTTGTGAGTCATTCGCTCACCATATTCCTCTTCTTTTCGACATTTACTGTCCAATGGATCAACACTTGTCTCTATCTTCATCATTTATAACTTAGCCTGACTCAAGGCTAAGAAACTTGTGCCTCCAATCGTTTTCTCTTTCCCTTTTTTTTTTGCTATATTTCTTCTCTGTTGATATTTTTTCTACACGATAGAGAATTATTTAACCTCGTGTGTTAAGAGGCTCAAAAAGAGTTGTTGTTTAAGTTTTTAAAAACTTCTAATATAAGTCAGTGTCTGCAGGCTGTTAATTTAGCGGGGGGGGCATAAGAGACTGATCAACTCTGATGGGGTCGACTAGGGAGTATGATGTTTGAAAGAGCATAAACTGCCCAACGATCCAAATCAGGACATCTCTGACGACGCCCTCTAGCGCTAAAGACCGTATATTCAAATAAACTTTTCCAGTTTTAAAAAAATGATTTGAAAAGTTTATTTAAAAGCTTAGTCTGGTTCAAGGTCAAAACAATATGTGCTCCAATCGCTTTTTCTCTCGCTCAATCCATTTCTATATCTTCTTCGTTTATATCTTATCAAGTTCTGACTGAGACGCTTTTAGCCTCTCGCTTTGTCAAGAGACTTTCTTTTTAACATCAAATCAACACAAAAGAAGTAATTCTCTTGTTATTTTGCTGATCATTTTCGGGACAACGCCTCTCATCTCATTTCACGAACACTGGTTTGATGAAGTTCGGCCTGTGCCTCCAAAAGTAATCTTGGGTTGGAGAGAGGACCAAGGTGGCGTGGGGGGAGGATGTTCAATTAAGAAAAGAAGCAGCGTCAGGGACAAGCAGGAGATAATGAAGACGAAAAAGATGTATGAAGCGTTAATAGATAAACAAAACAAGAATACGCCATTATGGTGGCAAAACAAAAATGGCGCGAAACAATCAGAATACTAGTAAAAAGGAAAAAAGATGTCTGCCAAATGGTTCGTTATCAGGACCCGATATCTCTGTTTTTAATGGAACTTCTCATGACAAGTGATATGTGTCAGCTTTCGATACAAGCATTTGCTTCTGTATGCAAAGAATATTTATAGAATGTTGTACTTTTTCTTCCATAGGTTTGCAACTGATTCAACTCGTATAAATCAGCGTATATGTTTTATGTTTTAAGCAGTTCCTCTTGCATCGAGGATTTCGATAAGATCTAACACTGAAACACCTAATATGAAAACATTCCAATATATGTGACGAGAAATGATGGCAGTTCACGGATAATAAATAAAGGGTGTTTATGGGAAGTCGTGAATGTCTTAAAATGACATGACATTTTAATAATTGGTAACGCGGTATTATTTTATTTGTTTTTAGGTGAGTCATATTTAACCATTTTGTATGGATTTACTTAAATGTTTGCCTCTAGAGAGAGAAATAATAGTCTACACAATCAGAAGGATCTATATATGTACCATAGATCTATAACGAGTATATAACTGCTGCATATTTGCATTATTCGGATTGTTATCTTCATTGTCATATTCTAGGCGTTTCGACCGTTATACGCTCCGGCCTTCTTCAGGTGATTTTTCTTCAATATCTGTCTATATATCTGAGATGGGGTATGATTATTTACATTATTTACATTATTTCGAACTGTTATCCTCATCTTCATTGCCATATTCACGACGTTTCGGCAGTTATACGCTCCGACCTTCTTTAGGTGATTGTGATTTTTCTTCAATATCTGTCTATATCTTTGAGATGGTGTATTATGATTATTTACATTATTCGGACTGTTATCCTCATCTTCATTGTTATATTCACAATTTTTCTGCCGTTGTACGCTCCGGCCTTCTTCAGGTGACTAGAATTTTAAATTGAACCGCTTGTCTCCTTCTCTCTGGCGACAGGCAAACTTGCCCGTCTTTTATTTTGTTTGTGGGGCTTGAAAAGGTCATTTGGGAATTCTCTCGCGGATATGATTTGGGCCTTTCCATTGGACGACGAACAAAACTTCGCGTCGGCTCGCGAAAAGGTCCGTAAAAGAATTTGTTTCTGAGAATTGAAGATTATTTGAATTTTGTTTTTAAATGTTTCCTGATTTTCTATTAATCGAAAAACATTTGCATCAAGGTGTGAAATTTCACGAGTTTTGTTTTGGATTCGTTTTTGCGTGTGTGTTAAGCAAAGTTTGTAAATTCGAGTCTTTTTCATTTCAAACAAAATCAATAAGTCGGTGCTTAGCATTTTGAATTTTAAATCTAGATCCTGTTTTGTTCACTACATATACATTTTATATCAAAAGAACCAACAATATATTTTATCTGTAGTTGAAGGTAGTTGAAGGTATACAATTGCGTTCAAAATATATTTAGTTAAAGCCATTTACATTCTTTACATTGTACTGACTGTTGTTCTCATTTTTATTGTCATATTCACGACGTTTCGGCTGTTGCACGTTCCGGCCTTCTTCAGGTAATATATGTTGGAATTTCGCACTACTTATTTTGTCCACTGGGGTAGAAGGTTCTAGTGTCCACAAGGATACATGGGCCAGTGGATAAAAGCGTTGGTTGAAATAATCTAGTGACTTGCCCCCAAAAATTGTTAAGTTCAATACCCGGCCACAGCAGAGGTGAATAAAAACTTGGAGTGTTGAGCTACTGAAGGGAAGTTGTTACTCTTTGCAAGATTCACAGGAACTCGATGCAATAACTTCAAATTGCTGTCAATTTTAACCCATTCCCTCTTTCAATCAGGTATGTAGCATCTGTAACTTTCATTGAGTACACCTTCTCTTTTAGCATAGCCCAGAAAAAAAAAGCCAATTCTTTCTTGTTTCGACAAAACCATATTTAATCTGTGGAGATAGAAAATATAGTTAATGAGATTTCCTATGTGTCCAAAGTTTAGGGACTCTCTCTCTCTCTCTCTCTCTCTCTCTCTCTCTCTCTCTCTCTGTGTGTGTGTGTAAAGTAAATAAAATGTTTTTTTTTATTTTCTAAATTTCAAAAGACGCCTCTTAAAGAATTGTCTGAATAATTCCTGAAAAAATGTCTTAAAAACAAAAAAAAATGACTGGACCCTTAAAAATCATTTGTTTGTTCTTTGAATGTTTGAATGCAACAATTTTGAAAGTTTTTCTTTGTCTTGAAATAACATTTTTTCTCAAGTCTTCAAGAATGTAAATAATAAACTGAGAATAATTGGAAAATTCTTTCTTTTCTAACCATTTCTCATGTTGGCTTTTGTAAAGATGAGCTTGTTAACCATTGCTGGGCACCCTAGACAAAAATGCATATTTTCAAGACATGAAATTTTCAATAACATTTTATTGAATTGGAATATTAACAAATGACATCTTCAATATGATTTCCATCATTTGTGATGCAAAAGTTGATGGGCTTTTCAAGATTCACATGAACTTGATGCAATAACTCTATATTGCTGTTTATTTTAACACATTCATTCTTTATGCGTTCAATCAAGTGTGTAGCATTTGTGATCTTCATTGAGTACACCTTCTGTTTTAGCTTACCCCAGAAAAAGAAGTCATTTCTTTCTTCTTTCGAGAAAACCATATTTAATTTATTAATGAGATTTCCTGTGTATCCAGACTTTACGGACACACTCTGTATTATGATATCCATGAAAGCCGACAGTTTATGCAAATCGGCATCTGGAAGAAAAGCTAAAATTCTATTGAAATGAAAGCAGTGAATATAAAAGCAGGAGGTATTTTAAAAAATGATAATAGTAATCAAACCATTCATTTGGGATAAAATCGATATTTTTTTTAGGTTCAGTAAACCAAAGAGGTACAGGAGAGCAATGGATAGTGGCTCGGACTACGAAATCGGAGAAGAGAGTTCGAATTCCAGTGTGCTTTCATATAAAATATTATTAACGAAACTAGAACGAAATCATTTTCGCTATTAAAAGATTAATTAGGTTTTCAATTTATTATCTATAAGCTCTATTCAAAAATATTTCACATTCATTTTGGGGCTTGTGTTAAGGGTTATTCCTGAAAGAGTCTATCAAACTTTAGATGAGAATGCTGAAAATCGGGCTGTTGCCTCGGATATCTTAAAGGCATTTGACAGGGTTTGGCATACCTCTCTTCTTCCCAATGTGAAAGGTTATTGTATTTCTGGACGAATTTTTGAACTGATTCAGTCTTATCGAATCGTAAAATGAAAGTGAGCTAGAACGGCTTCTCTTCTAGATCTTTTTACCTTAATGCACGTGCCCCCCCCCCCAGGGAGGTCCGCTAGTAGGAAGTTGGTTCTCTGTGTCGTTCTGGACAGTTTTTCTCATCAGGAACTAGAGTACGTTTCGTCTACCATTCGCCCTTTCTTTAAATATTGCTGCCATATCTGCTCTGCTTCTTCTGCTATATATTTCGAGATTCTTGATAAACTCCAAAGAAGAATCAGCAATATCATTGGTCCTGACCTGGCATCTCGGCTTCAGTCACTTTCCCTGTAATGAAGCTTTCTTATATCTTTTCTATAAATACTTTACCTAAACTTTACGAATTCAAGTACTGCACTAAATTGGTGACAAGGCCTCATCATTTTACTGTTAAAATGGCTAGATGTAAACATAAGTTCTATGATAACAGTTTATTTTCTCTCAATTCTTGCTTATGGAACTCTCTTCTCTTTTCTTGTTTCTCAATCAACTCTGATCTTTAAAAATATAAACGCAATGTCAATCGTTATCGTCTGTCTTCTTACGTCTTGTTCTTTCATTGTCTTCTCCCCTTAATAGTATAATTTTATATTCTCTAACAGTCAGTAACTTCTTACATCTTAGTGGCTTTGTTGCCTTGCTTGGGATGAAATGATTAAAAAATGTTTTCAATTAAAAACTTTTACTCAATGTACACATGTTAAATAGACATTTTGCAATGATTTTTCTGTATAAATCGAGGGATGATGAGATGATGTTAATTCCTAATTCTTCAAATTACCTGAAATATTTATTTTTGACGTTTCGGTAAGCAAGTCAGTAACACTCACCTAAACCGACCCAAATACGCATGCGCACAGACACATGCAAACTAATGTCTTATCAGAAAAGGAGATATATTTTTCAGTTGAATTCGCCAAAAAAACTTAGATATCTTTGAACAAATCTATCTGAAGATGAGTTCGCCCGCATTTCAATGACAGTAATATCAATATACAAGTACCGTTAGTTTTTCGTCCGCCGATTGGTTGACTAAAGAGATACTCAATCTTAATTGAGGCGTGTCTCGCTTTTATTTCTAATCAGATGTTTTTTATACGCTTGTGCAGAAAACATATTTGCCAAGTGATCAGTGAATTTGTTTTGATTGGCTGGCGACATTTCAAACTTCAAGGCGTTGCCCGTGAATCGATGCATACGTTCCTGATTTGATAAAAAGAATATCTGCATTTATAAATTGGAAAATATATTTTTAGTTCAACATCGTGTAAAGTAACTGAATAGAGACAGACTATTTTCAATTTTATCTACTGATTTTATCTAATGATATTTTGTTATTGTTGTTGTTTTTTACTAATGTTTATCCAACATAACGCCTAAGAGCCACTCTAGGCAGATGGCTATTGAATGAATTGCGTGGCATGAACGTAGGAGAAGGAATGAGAAATTGAAGATTACCAGTATATAGCTGATAGATAAACTTAAACTTGAGGAGTTAAAACTGTAGTGTTCGGGAGAGCATCCACACGGGAGCATTTTACACAAAGTTCTTCAGAATAAGTTTTCTGAACGGAACATCTTTCTTGTCAAAAGAGTACGTAGGAAATGAGGGGTGAATTGACCCCGTGACCCTAGCAAGTCTGGTCCTGGCTGCAAAAGCTGGAGTTGGTGCCTGGTGGATCGTCTGAACATTTGCATTGGAAAGAGTAATAGCATTGAGAGACTTGCGACGTCTCATCTGTGGTTGATTAATTGTTCATCACCCACAAGGCCGCATAAGCGTTTTTGAAAGTATGGATTAGGCAGCAGTGTGTGCGTTTTTTTTGTTTTGTTTTGTTTGTTTTTTTTTTTTTTTTTTTTTTTGCTTTTTTGGGGGTCTAATCTGATTCTTGTAAAGACAAAGCATGACAGAGGAGATCGGTTACTTTCTGGAAATATCTCTGATCGCGCCAACCACAAAGGGGACAACTTGACCTGCTACTTGTTCTATTTCTCTGATTTTCCCTGTTATGTCTTGCAGTGCTTCGTGGAATATTCAAGCAGCAGATTGTTCCACAGAGTAACAGTTCATTGTCTGAGGGGGGGGGGCTTCCTTCTTACAAATGGAATCTGGGAGTAATGTGGGTGAATGTAGCATAGCGAGTCCTAGCTGTAAAGTTTTCAACAGTTGGAACGAAAGAGTGGAGCTCATCTACCATAGAAACAGCGATAAAATAATGAGATTCTTGCGATATTGCGTCTATGCGGAAAGAAGCTGTAGGGTGGAAAATAAGTCTAACAATAACGTAAACAACTTTGAACTCATCCCAGACAGAGCAACAATACTCCACTTTTTGGTCTAATCGAACTCTTGTAAAATAAATGGCAGGAGTCCGCTGCTTTTTGGTGCAGTAAACGATAAGCAACCATTTTTTTCTAAGATCACCAGCGATGAATCGTATATTCGAATTCCACTTGAAGTCTGGAAAGAAATTCTTAGTTCAAATAAGCCTTGAAAACATAGAGTATTGAGAGTGCAATGGTAGAACTGAAGTAGTTTGCACAGTTCTCAATCTGAGATTGTTGCTACCCTGTCATACCTACTCTTATATTCTTGTAGGATGACCGATTGACATTCACTGATTATATAATTTGCCCTTTCATCTCTTTCTTTACAAATGCTATTTTCTCTGTTTTGTCGTGATGCACTTGTTCTGGATTGAAGATGAGAATTATCGTTTCTCAATTTAAGTGTCCTCTGTCGAGACATGTTCATGATTTTTATTTGACTATTAAATTCTCTGCATTTTTTCATTCAGTTGTTTCTTTCTGTTTTTCTTTCAGTTTTTTCTTCATTTTTCTGCAGTTTTTTTCTTTAAGTTTTTCTTCAGTTTTGTCTTCGCTTTCTTTCTTTCAATTTTTCTTTCAGTTTGTCTTCAGTTTTTACTTTCAGTTTTACTTCAGGTTTTTCTTTCAGTTTTTTCTTTCGGTATTTCTTCAGTTTTTCTTTAAGTTTTTCCTCAGTTTTTTCTTCGCTTTCTTTCAAATTTTCTTCCGTTTTTCTTTCAGTTTTTCTTCTTTTTGTCTTCAGTTTTTCTTTCAGTTTTACTTCAGGTTTTTCTTTCAGTTTTTATTTTCAGTATTTCTTCAGTTTTTTCTTCAGTTTTTCTTCAGTTTTTTTCTTTCTGTTTTTTCAGTTTTTTCTTTTCCTGTTTTTTTCAGTTTTTTCTATTTCTCGTCGCCCTGTTTCAAGCATTTTTATAATTATCATTGTTTTATTGTCTATATTTTTTGCCATTTGCTCACAGTCTTCCATGTTGGTAAGTCCTCTGACACCTTCTTGCTTACGTCGAAAAAACGTTCCCATGTGATCACCGAAGTTAAGCAACGTAGGTCAGTACCTAGATTGATGATCGTTTGGAAATACCAGGTCCTCTAAGCTTGGATATAGAGATGATTTAGTTGATAATGATTCAGAATTATTAATTGGAGAGTCAAGTTCGAATTCCAGTTGGGTTCGTTATATTTACTTACACGCAAATACCCTTGGGAAAGATAGAAATCCACCTCCACCCCCAGTTATAGGTCAATTTGTAAGACTTAGATCACTAAATCATTATTCTCTCAAAATAATTCCTACAGTCTATACATAGATTCTGGCTTTAAATAACCTGCAAAAAGTTGATAAACCATAGAAAACAGATCAAGCAATCAATTACTGATTAGTTGAAATGTAAATGTATGGAAACTACCGTGGCTACAAAGTGAGGGGTCATTTTGTATATTGATTGTAATATAGAATTGATCCCCGACTTTACATGCAAATTATAATTTCTTGTTTGTTTATCAAATTCTGTTTCGTTGTGAACCCACCTCTTCTCCCCCAACTATGGGTTAATTAGCAAAAATTGTATCACTAAATCATTATTATCTGGGAAAAGTTCCTACACTCTAAAGATATTTTCTGGCTTTAAATAACCTGCAAAGTGTTGATAAACCATAAAAAAGGAATCAAGCTGACACCGCTTTTCCTTTTTCTATGGAATTTGCATCGTTTTTCAGATGTTTCAAATCTCTGCACATCGCCATCATCATTCTAATTTATCGATAGATATAAGTTTCTTTTAAGTTCAATCGAGCAATTAACGTGTGTGCCTTTCGGTCGATAACGCCCACGCATTCATCCGTTTTTTATCAGATGTTTAGCGAAGTTTCAAGACTTTTGTTTATCCTCCCAAAATATTCCTTTCGTATTCTCTTGCTTTACATTCGGGTACAGCAATTCTTTTAGCGCCATCCTCTCCTGTTAATGTCATTATTGTCTTGTTATCCTGTCTGTCAAATCCATTTGTTGTCACAGGTGTTCCTCTCCTGCGCGTCATCATTATTATTATTATTATTATTATTTCCTTTGATTTCGGGTGTAGATTTCATTTCCTCCCGAGTCCCAAACAGAAACCTGGGGTCAGAAATGGCATCATGACATTTCCCACTGTATATTTGTATAAAAAAAAAACTAGAAACGAATACATTTTATCTCGATAAAGCCCTTTGTAGGGTGTAAACTGGTAGTGAGAACAATTTTATGTATTTTCCTGAAGATATGGCCTTCCGGGAATCCTTTCAACGAGAACTTTTCCCAATCAAATCCAGGACCTCAACCACAACTGGAATTGTTGATGTTTTCATTTGCCACTTTTTTTTTTTAAATACCTATTTTAGATTTCGGAAGATTTTTGAGGATCTTCAAGGCTATATCACAATTTGCAGTGGTTGTTATGTCAGTTATAAAAAAAAAACATTGTTTTTCTGTAGCCTTTGATCAATACGTCTTGGCGGTTAGCTTTGGTTGTTTAATTTGTGTCCTATTTGTTCTAATTGTGTGTCCTACTTGTTCTATTTGTTTGTCCTACTTGTTCTATTTCTGTGTTCTACTTGTCCTATTTGTGTGTCCTATTTGTCCTACATGTTCTATTTGTGTGTCCTACTTGTTCTATTTCTGTCCTATTTGTTCTATTTGTTTGTCCTCTTTGTCCTAATTTTTCTATTTGTGTGTCCTACTTGTTCTATTTGTTTGTCCTACTTGTTCTATTTATGAGCCATATTTGTTTGTCCCATTTGTCTTGTTTGTGTGTCCTATTTGTCCTACTTGTTCTATTTGTGTGTCCTATTCGTTTGTTCAATTTGTCCTATTTGTTTGTCCTATTTGTCCTACATGTTCTATTTGTGTCCTATTTGTTCTATTTGTTTGTCCTAATTTTTCTATTTGTGTGTCCTACTTGTTCTATTTGTGTGTCCTACTTGTTCTAATTGTTCTATTTGCGTGTCGTATTTGTTCTACTTGTGTGTCCTATTTGTTCTACTTTTGTGACCTATTTATGTGTCCCATTTGTTCTATTCGTGTGTTCTATTTGTCCTATTTGTTCTATATGTGTGACCTATTTCTGTAACCGCCTTATTATTATTATTGTTATTATTAGCACTTAGAGAAGAGCACAATTTAAGAAAAGAAAAAAGTCGACATTATGCTTGTCAATAGAGATATACCGTCTCTTTCCTTAAATCTCTAAAAATATTGGAACAGTTATTTTTACAGTGGTGTTCACCCTGTACAAAGCACGTGAGTCACTCGCAGTAGAGTTTTATAGAGAAAGAGTCACAATTTATGATCATATATAGGAAAGATAAGTGTTAATCCTAGACTTAAACAGCCCAAGTTTGTAGTGATCGGGAAAACATCTTGTTGGGTGTCGGTCCCACAGAGCGGTTCGCGGGAAAAAAACTGTTTGAGTGGAACTTACACCTCACGAATGGAATATGAAGGGAATGAGTGTGGTTCGCTGCAATGGGCGTGGCATGACGGGTCACAGCCGTGAAGATTAGAACTGGTGGAACTAAGGAATGTAGTTTGTGCACTTTCCTTGAAAATAGCGACAAAGCAGTGAGAAGCTTGCGGCGTTTCGTCTGTGGGGAAAGGGGTTGTTGGGTAGAAAATAATTCATCCCCCACAAGGACGCGGAGAACATTTGGACTCTGTTGAGACTGGATAGTAAAGACTTCAAAGTTCCTGCTCAAATATGACTGCAGTGTTCCATTTTAGACATGATCTGGCTCTTGTAAAGTTAGAGAATAGCAGGAGGAGTCAGGTACTTACTGGCGTGGTACAGGGAACCAACCATTTTTCCAGCATCTTCAGTCACAGATCGTATGTACGAGTTCCACTTGAGGCCTGGGTTGAGTCCTCAATAGTCGCTGAAGGCTCGAGGCTTTCCTAATTGAAAATCCAGTTCATCGTGATCGGCGATGATGATGGTTTTCAAGACATTGAATTTGACCAGCCAGTACATACCCCACCCCTTGAAACGAGCTAGACCAAAGGAGAGATCAGATGCCAATTTATAACCATTTTTATTGTCATGCGTCGGTTTCGAGAGACCCCATAGATCTGTGCTCAAAGAATGATGCCTCAGCTGCTGATAGCAAAGCAGCATCTGTTATTGTTGAAACTTGACTAATGCATGGAATAATAATACAACACAAAATGTACTTAGAACAAAATGTATTGAAAGAAGAAAGTGTACACAATATTTACATATAGTCTTTTGTACATTCTTGGGAAGACCGATCCTGGAGAATGTGTTGACTTAGTCGCAGTCGGGCAGAGTCTCTGGATTGAATCTCTTGATTCCTCCCCTCGTCTTCCCGGTACCAACCATATTTATATGGTCGGTACTCCACTATGTAAATTAGGTGGATCCTACCACAACAGTTATGGCTGTACTGGCCCACACGGGTGTGACAGTCTCGACTGCAACGAATTCACGAGAAACGCTCTTCCCCGATGTCGCCTTGTTGTCTTATTTCCGTCGGGCACGGTTCTCCTCTCCTCGCTTCAACCCACGATGTAAGTCGCGTCTCCGGCGTGAGAGATTGTTGGCGACTTCTCCCCACCTCTTGATGCCCATCGCCCCACATGCCCTTTTTGCAGACGTCCGTGAAGCGAGAATGAGATCGCCCTCGTTGCCCTCTTGCCGGGGGCCAGTTTCCCGTACAAAAAGGGCCTTCGGAAACCTCCCATCAGTAGACTGTTGCTTCCCGTGTTTTGCCGTCACGATGAGGCGATTCTAAAGCGTCCTCTCCAGGTCGCAGGCCTTGGCAGGGTATTTAGGAAAGATTGGCGCTTGCCCATGTAGCACACAGCTCCTCTCACCGATTTTGTCCAAGAGAGATGTAGAATCCAATACAGTTTGGCACCAGCCTCGTCGCAGGAGTTGCCAGAACGAACATTTATTTAATAATAATAATAATAATCAGCCTTTTGAAATGTAATGCGTTTGTAAATTATGGCTCACACAAGGGACCAAGTGACAGCAAGTCTCTACTCTTATGCAGCACCTTCCTCGGTGTTTTAGCTGTTTTTTGTAATGCAGTCGTCTGGGTTGTTCCGACTCTTTCCTATATTTTCAATACCACAAGTTTTTTCCCCCTCTAGGAACTCCATGACGGTTCCCAATACTCCGATAACTACTGACACGACTGTCACTTTCTTGTTTCACAAAATCTTCAACTCTCTTATTCAACTTTTAACGCACTTTTTGATTTGCTCTCTAATCTAGCGAATATTTTTGTTTTTTGCTTCGGTTTTAAATTCTCATCCTTTGATGTAATAAAAAAAAATTCAAATGCTTTGCTGAGCTTATTGGAGAAGGTTTTATTGCGTATGAAAAGCTCAAAATTCTTAAATAAGTGATAATCAGTAGAAGTGATATCAGGTGCATATGGAGGATGAAGCAAATTTTCAGAATTCAGGCTGTGCAGCTTTTGGGCATTTGAATTGAGAAGCATGCAGCCTGTGCATTGTCACGCAGCAAAATTTGGCCAGCCCTATTCACAAGTAAGAAGCGTGCGGCCGTGCAGCAAAATTGGGTTATCCCTATTCACAGGTATGAAGCGAACGGCCGTGTGCAGCAAAATTGGGTTATCCTATTCACAAGTCTAGGATGTTTCTTTTCTAATTTTTCATACATACACTAAATTTCTCTACAATACAAGATTGCTTTTATTGTTTTCCCTTGAGACAAGAATGAATAATGAATAACCCCTTTGAAAGACCACCATACATTAATCATGAACTTTTTAGGTTTTAGGTTTTGGATATTGTTTTGGTGATTCACTTGCATCTAACCACTAGCCTACTCTCTTACTGTTGTCAAAGAGTATCCATTTCTCATCGCATGTAATGATTTGATGCAAAAATGGTTCTTTTCCCCCAGTTTGTATTCGTACAGAAAGATTACTTGACATTGTTTCATTGTAATCATTTTCAGTGGGATTATGAGTAACAAGAGATTGAAATAAAAAGAATTATCTGTAAAGATAAAGAATCAGGAAGAAATCAAGATTTTCTTATATACTAAAGAGGTTACTTCATTAAATGACTGCATCAACACCCAACCCCCAAAAAATGTGTCATTCAATGTCTTTCAATTTAGCGAATTGACATTACCATCAGAGACCAAAATTCAGGACCTAAGTGGTAAGGAAACACACACTGTGTTTGAAACTCTTTCAGTGTGTCTGTGTGTGTGTGTGCTTATTCATTTGATTGGCGGGACATCAGAAAACGTGTAAATCTGCTCCGTGTGTCCCTCAGTACACACACGCACATTAGATTTCTAAATATCTGCCTCCTCGCCCACGAACACAGACAACAATGCGTATGCATAAAAGTGCACACGTCTGTATACAATGTATGTACAAGGAAGCGCGACACAGACCAGGACTTCATTTATGTGGTTACCGTGTGCATGAACCATTCAAAAAATGTCTTTCGCAGACGATGAAGACCAAACGCTGCCAGTTGGTCTTCTTGCTAATATCGCTCCAGAAGATCCTTTTTTTTTTCATATTTTGACTCTGACCCAGAGGTGAACGTGGCTGAAATATTTCACCCTGCTTCAATTACAGAAAATTGTTTGCTATGCTTCAGCCGGAGAAATTCTTTTCAGCAAAATCTCAAATGAGTGTTTTGACTTTACGCTTTATATGATGTTCAAAATGGCACGAAACCAGATTCTCTTTTTATTTTTCCAGAAAGGCCAGAACCCCACTACGCACTTCTTGACGCCAACTGACGTCAGGATTTCCTCATTATAAAATGATGCGTGTGCGTGTGACATGTCCATTCATGACGTGAACGATAATGGCTCCCAACAGCATCCTTTTCAATTGTATTTCATCTCTCACTTTAGAGATTAAACATTGGAAGATAGAATGAATGGCATCTGAATACCGAGACGAACTAAGGAACACGAAACATAATATTAAATCTTCAGTTCCCAGGAAATGGCAAGGATGTTGTTAGTGACCTTTTCTTTATTGATTGCTAACCAAGTTTTCCATGTTCCAAAACGCTTCTGATCCATGACATATGTATTTATTCCGCTACAAGATGATTCATTTCACAGAGATTTCGGCCACTCCCTCTGAATATCAAAATGGCATCAACATTCTTACATTGGTTGATATTAGCGTCAGGTGAGTCTTTCAATACCAACAGTGCAGTAACTGACTATACGACGGTCCAAAACGCACCACACCCAACATTAAGTTCATATTTAACTCGATATATTGACAACAGAAATATACATGTGCGCCTTATTTTTGTAAATGGGCAAAAAATCTTTTGAAGACAGCAATCAAACAGCCTGCAATATGCCAGCAAGTGCGTGAGACTTTTTTTTATCAATGTTTCATCAAAGTCCCAAGAGTAACTCAAGGCAGAGGTTTACTGAATAATTTTGTTTGATCGTCAAAGATAAGGTAAGAAGTACAGTTTAAGGTTAATCATAGGCTAGATAATGGCTAATCTTCGATTTTTAGATTGTATTGATCGGAAAAGCATTATATCGGGAGTTTGTTCCAAAATATAGCAGTTCTTTTGAAGAAGCCGTCCAAATGGAACTTTTCATTACTATTTCTTCTTACTAATGGACTACAAAGGGCAACGGGGATGATTTAATCCTGTGTACGAGGCATGGCAGATTTTATCTGTGAAAGTCACAAATGGTGGAACTAAAGCATATAGCTCGTCTGAACATTGCCATGTAAATAGCGACAGAATATCCAGAGGCTTAAAACGTGGCATCTTTCAGACATAACGGGAAAATGTAGAAAATTATCCATCACTCACAAGGCCGGGTAAACTCTTTTGAAGTCTGTCCAGGCTTTTGCAGAAGATGATGAAGAAAATGAAGCCACGTTGGCCTTCTTGTTACTATGGCTCCAGAAGGAGATCCGTTTTTTTCTTATTTTGACTCTGACCCAGAGTTTACCCGGCTCTGTGAGTGATGGATAATTTTCTACATTTTCACGTTATGTCTGAAAGATGCCACGTTTTAAGCCTCTAGATATTCTGTCGCTATTTACATGGCATACCACTGCTCATATTGCAATTTTTGCTGATACCATTGCATGTTTTTACCAGAGCTCATATTGCAACTTTGTTCTTATCATTGCTTTTCTCTGGCACTCCTTATTACTGGTTCCCATATTGTACTTGTTTCTATGCGAAATAAAGGATTCAGTTTGAAATTCAAACCACCCGAAGAAGGCCGGAGCGTACAACGGCCGAAACGTTGTGATAAATATATGGCGACAATGATGAGGACAATAGTCCGAATAATGTAAATAATTCCTCATCTCAGAAATATAGACAGACATTTTTTACGTTTATAAGTTCTTTTTATACTTTTTTTTTCTCTTTATCTGATGTTCAAAATGTCACGGAACCAAAGCGTTTTATTAAAACCGGGAAAATTGTCTTTTTATTTTCCAGAAAGGCCAGAACCCCGCTCCGCACTTCGTCAGGATTTCCTCCTCATAAAATGATGTGCGTGTGTGTGTGTCTGTTTGTGTGTTTGTGTGTGACATGTCAATTCATGACATGAGCGATAACAGCTCCCCACAGCATCCTTTTTGTTGATCTAAATAATGTAATGGAATAGGATAACGATGTTAACAGGAAACATGAATCTTCATTAAAATATTTTTTTGGTTATTCTCGGTCGGACTGTAGTGTGATGCATGGACCTTACATTGTCGGTGATGTGTGAGAGACTGCCCCCGATTGCCTGAGCGGTTGTTTATGTAAACGAATGTATTACAAAATCATTTCGATGTCTGCAAACTGGACGGGCCGCAGATGAAACCCTGTTGCATTCGAAATCTTTAATGTCTATTCTGCCATCAGAAATATAGACAGACATTTGGCTTATGACTATAGCGCGTTCAAACATCGGTTCCCGTATGATCGCCAAAGTTAAGCAACGTCAAGACTGGTTAGTACCTAGATAGGTGACCACTTGGGAATACTGAGTGTTTTAAGTTTCAATGTGCGGGTGGTGTAATGGATAATGGCTCAGAATTGTTAATCAGAGAGCCAATTTCCAATTCCAGTTGGGTTCGTTATATTCACTTACGCGCAAATACACTTGGGAAAGGTATGAATCCACCTCGTCTCCCCCAGTTATGGGTTAATTAGTAAGAATTATATCACCAAAATCATTATTGTCTTCAAAATAATAATAATAAAATTACATATAAGATATTTAGATTTCAGCATTAAATGACCCATAGAGATGTTGATGTGTCGTTAAAAAACAACCAACCAACTCTCTCTCTCTCTCTCTCTCTCTCTCTCTCTCTCTCTCTCTCTTTATACCACGCTCCTTTAGGACTTGTGATCATGGTCCACCACAGCTTCCTCTCTTTTATTGATCTCAGCAATATTTGCTCTTCATAGTTTTTGTTTCCCCCCCCCCGCTCCATTTGCTTCGACTTGTCAAGTGCGTTCCTTTCGGCTTTTCTTCGTTTGGCGCCATCCCGTTTTTCCTGCGAGTGTCACTTTCTCCAAATGTGTCCCAAACATTTTAGCTTTCTCTTTCTGTTGATTAACAGCCTTTTTTTTTTATTCTAGTGGCCTATTCTCTTGAAAACTTCCTCATCTATCACATGCCCCGTCCGCGCTATTCTCAATATTTAACGAGAAAAACATATTTCTGTCATTTTACATCTTTGCTTCATCTGTGAAGAAATCTTCAGTGATCAAGCTGCCTCAAAAATGACGAAAGGTAATAGAACAAATTGATTTTTTCTAATTGTTCCCTCAATTAAAGACCTAAGAGTCACTCAATGTAGAGGGTTACTAAATTAGGTTCATTTAAGAAGGTACAAGATGGGAACAAGAGATGCATACTATGAGGATATGTAGGATAGATAACAGTTGATCCTTGAGTTAGAGAGGTTAAAATTGTAGTGATAAGAAAAGCAGTCGTGTAACAAAGACGGATATATGAGTCTCGCTTGGGGTCTGGAGGTGAGATTGCTTGTTTGGTTTAGCAGCATATCAATCAATGAGTTATTTTTGGATTTTTGGATTCCGCCATCATGGCTTCTACTGACAAAAACATTTAAAGGGACACAACTCTCTATCTTTCAATAGCTCATATTCAAATGAAAAAATGACTGTTCTCAAATTACCGCGTTTCAAAATTAATTTCTTGTCCATGTTTTCAGCTTTACTTCTGAAGGCAGTAGTCCAACAAATCATACCATTGTGGAATCCATCCGACTATGTGAGCATATTACAAAGATTCCAGCTCGGATCTGGACCCAGAATCCTGAAATTTGGGATTCCCAAGTTTTCATTACGGCAATTGTTTACGGCCATTTTTTTTTCATGATTTTTTGCGACGAATTTTTTTTGTACGATAAGTTTTTATAACTTGGAAATAAATTTAGGAATAATCGAAATTAATTGCGAAATACACCCATGAAATAAAAATAATTGTTTGTATGAAATGTAAGGACATCAGTCACTCAGTTATGTGTCATGCGTGATACATGACTGACGAGGCAGATTTTTTCCCCGCCATTTGTTTCTGCGGTAGACTAGTTGCCATCCAAGGTTATAGAACCTGGTCTGTCCTACTATCAACCCATAGCTGAGGGGGAGAAGAAGATTCATACTTTTCCCAAGGGTATTAGCACGTAAGTGAATGTAATGGATTCGACTGGAATTCGAACTCGGCTCCCCGATTCCTTGAGCCAAGACGTTATCTATCACTGCACCGTAATTATCTGTAAATTAAGTGGCATCAGAAGAATCATCGTTGAACTTTTAAAAGGTAAGCTTTAAGCAATACTTAAATACATCAATTTTGAGTTCTTCTGTAGTTTATTGTTGCCTATCGCATCTACTCCTCCCTAGCTATTGTGATGAAGGTTCAATCAAGAGCCCCCACACACACAGAAACTAGCTTAAATAGTGCCCGATAGGACCTCTTTTAAGCTGGTACCAGTGAAATGTGACGGGAATGAGGACAGGTCGATTCAGTGTTCAGGGCAGTACGGGTCCTAGCTGTGAAGGTCTGAACTGGTTAAACCAAGGAATGTCGTTCACCTGGACATATCCTGTGAATATAACGATAGAGTAGCGATAAGGTAGCAAAGATTCATCACTGGGAAAAGATGCCTTTTTTTTGTTGTTGTTTTTTTAAGTATCACTCACTGCTCCCTCCAGCTATGGGTAAATAGCAGGACAGACTGGGTTCTATAGCATGTTTGAGGAAAGGATGAGAAGGACTTGGATGGCAACTGGTCTAGGAGAAGGACAACTCTGAATTCAAAACCTGCAGGAGGGTCGTTTGGGGACCTTGAAAAGACAAAAGGGCACACGGTACACCAGGTCTCTGTATTCGGTTCTTCAAAAAAGTGTGGTTGGTTCTGCCACAATGTTCACAAATCCTTCCCCACTGTGGGGGAAAGTCTGGCAGAATAAACGTCGTTTCCTCAAAATGACTGATTTAAATTGATTTTCATTCGTCAAAAATTGGGATAATCAAAGACGGAGAGTTCAAACTATTATATATAACAGTGAGTGCAAGTTTCATGAAAACAACTGACAGAGGATGCTGTAGCATGCAAAAAAACATGTTTTTATATAAAAAAAGGAAACCAACACTCAATAATATCAAAAGAGGGCTTGGAAATGAACACGGTCACAACAAGTACTGACCGTGTTTGGAAAAATAAAACATTCCTATAACTCTAGATACATACATAAAAAGATCCATACATTGAGTTTAAAGTAAAAATAAAATTCATTTTTTATAAAAGTATAGCCGAAAGTAGACGGACATATAAAACATTTGGAAAATTTTTACATAATTTACGTCCCGAAAAGAAAAAAAATAAGAACATATGAAAAATTCTTTGAAAAACTTAACCACAGCACCTTGTCAGTCTTTTTTTAATGAAACTTGCATAAAAGAGGGATTGCACACCCAAATACGCAATTATATATATATATATATATATATATATATATATATATATACGCTAATAGTAATACTTGTTTGGAAAAACCCTTGGTTTTTTTTTTTTTTGGAGATATCTCAATTTATTTGTAGATATGTTTTGAAAACAAAGATATCTGAGAGGAAAATATATATATTATAAATAAAAATATAAATAGAACTAGAAACCCTCTTTATCCGAACAGGTGCTGAAATAAATCGATTTTTTTTCTTTTCGAGTGAATTATGTAAAATTCTTTAGTCCAAAGAAAAAAAAAACCAAGCGAGTTGTAAACCTAAAACCTAGTTCTTTTTTATAATAATGAACTCTCCGTCGTTTTGACGAATGAAAATCTTATAATAAATCCAGAGACCTGGTGTACTGTTAGATTTTCTGCACTGGACATAAAGCTGACAATGAGAGAAAATGTCATAAAAAGAGTTAAATATGTGCACGTGGAAATAAGATTGCAACAAAACATTTAAGAACTGGTTTAAAATGCAATGTCATTAAGACAAAAGGGGTTACTGAGTGTGAAAGAATAAAAGAGAGATCAAGAAGACAGTCGATAACGATTAACATTGTAGTTAAATTTTTAAACATCAAAGTTGGTTGGAACAAAATGGATGGCGTCATTAAATGAAATGAATTTCAGGCTCTACATTTATCAAGACTGTTTATTTCATAGAAGGAACTGTTAGTATAGAACTTACGCTTTCTTTTCAAACACTTTTTCAAATTTGATTTTACTTGTCGGAAAGATATTAGCTTCCAGGGTTTTAATTACGCATTCTTTTGGTCAAAATGTCTATTTTGAATAGTTTGCGATTGAAACATTTAAGTCTTTAAAACTTGACAAGCGAAAAATGGCTCGCTTCTTTAACATTTTTTTTTTTAAACATCAAAGTTTTGCAAAGGATGGAGTCATTTTCTGTTAGTATAGAACTTACGGTTTCTTTTCTTTCGGACACACGCATTCCTTTTGGTCACGATTGAATAGTTTGCGATTGAAACACTCTCTCTCTCTCTTCTTTTCTTTCTCTCTCTCTCTCTCTCTCTCTCTCTTTTCTCTCTCTTTCTCTTTTCTCTCTCTCTCTTTCTTTTCCTCTCCTTCATCTTTTTCGTTAACCTAATCTCTCTTGTTCTCTTCTTCTTTCGTTTACTCTATTTTATTCCTCCTTTTTTTTCTTTCTTTCTTCTTCTTTCGTCTACTTCTCTTTGTTTTTATTTTTTATTTTTCGCTTTCTTTACTTCTTTTTTTCGTTTCTCTTCCCTCCCTTCTATTTCTTCTTCTTCTTCTTCACTTTCTTTTGTTTTCTTTTTGTCATCATTCTTTCTATTTCTTTCTCCTTTTATTTTTCTCTTTCTTTTTCTTCTTTATTCATTCAACTACTCATCTCTTTCTTTTCATTCTTCATTTTATTTTTCTTCTGTTTTCTTCTCTGTTTCTTTCTTCTTTTCCTCCTTTTACTTATTCGTTCGTTTTCTTTTTCCTCTTCTTCTTTCGCCTACTTCTCGTTCTTTTGTTTTTTTTCTTTTGCCTCTACTTTTTTTGTGGGGGGGAGGTCTTTCTTTTTCTTTTCTTCTTTTCTTTATTAACCTATTCTACAACTTTTCTTTTCTTTCTCCAAATTCTCATTTTCTTTTTTCTTTGCTTTTTTTAGTTATTTTCCTTCATTTTCTTATTCTAAACATTTTTCAATGTATTTTTACTTCCTTAGCATTCTTTCTTCTCACGTTTTTCTTTTCCTACGTGTTCTTCTTTCCCCTTCCCCCATTTATTCGCCTATCCTTTCACTTCTTCTTCTTCTTCTTCTTCTTCTTCTTCTTTTTATTTATTCTCTTTCCTTAATCTTCCTTCCTCTAATCTCATTTTCTTTCTCGTTCTCATTCCCCTTCCCACAATTCTTTTCCTTTTTCTTCGATACATAAAGCGGAAAAGGCACAAATGAGGAAAAAGATTAATGTTTTTTCTTTTTTTTTTTGCTACTGCGTGAATGTGTGTGTGGGGTGGGGTATAAGGGCGCCATAGGAGTTATATGTTGCCTCTAACTGTTCGACTAGGGCGTGGTCGAGTGAACGCGGGAGAGAAGAGGCATGAAGTACGTAAGATGAGAAAACATTAGTCGCTCGTGAAGCAGACAATGTCCTTCAGGAAGAAGGCACTTTACAAAGAACAAATTCTCCCAGGAAACAGACACAGAGCGTAGGGGGGAGGTAACGGTGATAGTTAGCGAGGAAGAGGGGGTATGGTGGCATTTGAAAAATGGAAAAGAGATGAATAGAAAGAAAAGCCTCACCCTTATTACCAACGTCACTTCACCTCCACCATCCAAATCCATTTTCACCGGCTTTAATATTACTATTGGTATTATCATTAAAATAAACCCCACCGTCAAGTTTAGCGTTACAAAACAAAAACTCATTCTTCGTCTTTATCAAACGTTTTCCTTGATTTATATTAAATCGTCGGGGCGCTATGGCATCCCTTAGGGCAATAGAGCTATTGGCTGGTATCCATTTTCTTACGTGCGATTATACGGTACCAGCAGCACGGAAAAAATCCATAACCTGACCGTTAAAGGGCTCCAATTCCGCTGCTATTGACCCCTTATTAGGGTGCAGGTAGAGAAGTGCATTTATGCCTTTTCCAAAGGCACAAGTGTGAAGAGAACAAAAACTGCCCGGCGGTGAAGTTCAAACACTGTTTGACAATTCCATTCCATCACGGTGAAACAACACACACCACCACCAACAACGTAGTATCCCGATTAGTATAACCTACGCCAACAAAATAGTCGCTCTCATGAGAAGCAAGACAGGAAAAAATGACAGAGACTAAGAGGATCTGCCATTGTTGCTTGAAGTGGCTGAGACAAGTAAAATGAATCAAGAGAGACAAATAAAAACAGACAAGTCAAGGGAGACAAATAAAGAGAGAGTAGCAAAGAGACTCAAGAGAGACAAGTAAAAAGAATCAAGAGAGATAAATGAGGAGAGACGAGTAAGGAGAGTCAAGAGTGACAAATAAAGAGAGACGAGAAAAATAGAATCAAGAGAGACAAAGGAAGAAAAAGGAGTAAAGAGAGTCAACAGTGAAAAATAAAAAGAGAGAAAAGTAAAGAGAATCAAGACAGACAAATGAAGACAAATGACGGAGAAAATCAAGAGAGACAATAGTTTCAAGAGAAACAAAGAGAGACTATTAAAGAAAATCTAGAGAGACAAAGGTAAGAGGCAAACAGACAATTAAAGATAATCAAGAGAGACGAGTAAAGAGTCAAGCGTGACAAATAAAGATAGAGACAAATAAAGAGACTCAAGAGAGACAAGTAAAGAAAACCAGGAGAGACAAATAAAGAGAAACCAGAAAATAGCGACAATTAAAGAGAATCAGGAGAGACAAATAAAGAGAGACAAGTAAAGAGAATCAAAAGAGACAAACGAATAGATACAAGAACACAGAATCATGAGAGACAAATAAAGAGAAGCAAGTAAAGTGAATCAAGAGAGACAAGTAACGAGAGACAAATAAAGAGGACGAGTAAATAGAATTAAGAAAGACAAATGAAGAAAATCAAGAGAGACAATTAAAGTGTATCAAGGGAGACAAATGAAGAGCGACAAATAAAGAGAATCATGACAGACAAATGAAAAGAGACAAGTAAAGAGAGACAAAAGAGACAGATAAATAGAGACAAGTAAAAATAGTGCAGAAACACAAATAGAGACATGTAAAGAGAATCAAGAGAGACATATAAAGAGAGACAAGTAAGGAGAGACAAGAGAGACTAATAAAGACAGACTATTAAAGTGAATCAAGAAAAACAAATGAAGAAGACGATTAAAGAGAATCACGTGAGACAAATGAACTGAGGCAAGAGAATCAAGAGAGACAAAGTAAGAGAGACAAGTAAAGTGAATTAAGAAAAACAAATAAAGAGAGACAAGAGAATCAAGAGAGACAAATAGAGAGAGACAAGTAAAGAGAATCAAGAGAGACAAATAGAGAGAGAGACAAGTAAAGAGAATCAAGAGAGACAAATAGAGAGAGAGACAAATAGAGAGAGAGACAAGTAAAGAGAATCAAGAGAGACAAATAGAGAGAGAGACAAGTAAAGATAATCAAGAGAGACAAATAACGAGGGACAAGTAAAGAGAATCAAGAGAGATAAATAGAGAGAGAGAGAAAGAGAATCAAAAAAACAAATAAAGAGAGATCAAGAAAAAATAATGAGAGACAAAAAGATAAAAGAGAGACAAATAGAAGAGACAAGTCAAGAGAGAGAGAAATAGAAAAAAGAATCGAGGGACAAATAATGGGAGACAAGTAAAGAGAATCAAGAGAGAAAAATAGAGAGAGACAAGTAAAGAGAATCAAGAGAGACAAATAGAGAGAGAGACAAGTAAAGAGAATCAAGAGAGACAAATAGAGAGAGAGACAAGTAAAGAGAATCGAAATGGGAGACAAAAAGAGAATCAAGAGAAAAATAGAGAGAGAGACAAGTAAAGAGAATCAAGAGAGAGAAAAAATAGAGAGAGACAAGTAAAGAGAATCAAGAGAGACAAATAAAGAGAGAGAGACAAGAAGAGAATCAAGAGAGACAAAAAATGAGAGAGACAAAAAGAGAATAGAGAGAGAGAGAGACAAGTAAAGAGAATCAAGAGAGACAAAGAGAATCCAAGAGAGACAAATAGGAGACAAATAAAGAGAACCAAGAGACAAATAGAGAGAGAAAAGAGAATCAAGAGAGACAAATAGAGAGACAAGTAAAGAGAATCAAGAGAGACAAATAATGAGAGACAGATAACAATAAAGAGACAAATAGATAAAGAGAGACAAGGTGGGAGAGAGAGACAAATAGAGAGAGAGACAAGAGAATCAAGAGAGACAAATCGAGAGAGACAAGTAAAGAGAATCAAGAGAGACAAATAGAGAGAATCAAGAGACAAATGAGAGAGAGACAGAGATCAAGAGAACAAATAGAGAGAATCAAGAGAGACAACAGAGAGAGAGAATCAAAGAGAATAAAGAGAACCAAGAGAGACAAAAGAGAGAATAAGAGACAAATAGAAGAGAAAGTAAAGAGAATCAAGAGAGACAAATAGAGAGAGACAAGAAAGAGAATCAAGAGAGACAAATAGAAGAGAAGAGAGACAAATAGAGAGAGACAAAGAGAATCAAGAGAGACAAATAGAGAGAGAGACAAGTAAAGAGAATCAAGAGAAACAAATAGAGAGAGAAATAATGAGAATCAAGAGAGACAAATAGAAGACAATCAAGAGAGACAAATAGAGAGAGACAAGTAAAAGAAATCAAGAGAGACAAATAGAGAGAGAGACAAGTAAAGAGAACCAAGAGAGAAAATAGAGAGAGAAGTAAAGAGAATCAAGAGAGACAAATAAATAGAGAGAGAGAATCAAGAAAGAGAAATAGAGAGAGAGACAAGTAAAGAGAATCAAGAGAGACAAATAGAGAGAGAAAGTAAAGAGAATCAAGAGAGACAAATAGAGAGACAAGTAAAGAGAATCAAGAGAGACAAAAATAGAGAGAATCAAGAAAGAGAATCAAGAGAGACAAAAATAGAGAGAGAGACAAATAAAGAGAACCAAGAGAGACAAATAGAGAGAGAAAGAGAATCAAGAGAGACAAATAGAGAGAAAGTAAAGAGAATCAAGAGAGACAAATAGAGAGAGACAAGAAAGAGAATCAAGAGAACAAAGAGAGAAACAAGTAAAGAGAATCAAGAGAGAGAGAGACAAGTAAAGAGAATCAAGAGAGACAAATAGAGAGAGAGAGACAAATAGAGAGACAAGTAAAGAGAATCAAGAGAGACAAATAAAGAGAATCAAGAGACAAAGAGAGAGATACAAGTAAGAGAATCAAGAGAGACAAATCAAGAGAGAGAATCAAGAAAACAGAGAGAGAGACAAGTAAAGAGAATCAAGAGAGACAAATAGAGAGAGAGAGAATCAAGAGAATCAAGAGAGAAGAGAGACAAATAGAGAGAGAGACAAGTAAAGAGAATCAAGAGAGACAAATAGAGAGAGAGAATCAAGAGAGAGAAAATAGAGAGAACCAAGAGAGACAAATAGAGAGAGAGACAAGTAAAGAGAATCAAGAGAGACAAATAGAGAGAGACAAGTAAAGAGAAATAGAGAGACAAGTAAAGAGAATCAAGAGAGACAAATAGAGAGAGACAAGTAAAGAGAATCAAGAGAGAGACAAAAGAGAGACAAGAAAGAGAAATCAAGAAAGAGAGAGACAAGGTAAAGAGAATCAAGAGAGACAAATAGAGAGACAAGAAAGAGAATCAAGAGAGACAAATAAAGAGAATCAAGAGAGACAAATAGAGAGAGACAAGTAAAGAGAATCAAGAGAGACAAGTAAAGAGAATCAAGAGAGACAAATAGAGAGAGACAAGTAAAGAGAATCAAGAGAGACAAATAGAGAGAGACAAGTAAAGAGAATCAAGAGAGACAAATAGAGAGAGAGACAAGTAAAGAGAATCAAGAGAGACAAATAGAGAGAGACAAGTAAAGAGAATCAAGAGAGACAAATAGAGAGAGAGACAAGTAAAGAGAATCAAGAGAGACAAATAGAGAGAGACAAGTAAAGAGAATCAAGAGAGACAAATAGAGAGAGAGACAAGTAAAGAGAATCAAGAGAGACAAATAGAGAGAGAGACAAGTAAAGAGAATCAAGAGAGACAAATAGAGAGAGAGAGAATCAAGTAAAGAAAATCAAGAGAGAGAGAGAGAGAGAGAGACAAATTCAGAGAGACAAGAATCAAGAGAGACAAGTAAAGAGAATCAAGAGAGAAATAGAAGACAAGTAAAGAGAATCAAGAGAGACAAAGAGAGAGAGACAAGTAAAGAGAATCAAGAGAGACAAATAGAGAGAACAAGTAAAGAGAATCAAGAGAGACAAA